CAGAACAGAAGGAGGCAAAGAGAACGAGAAATTAAAACCTAAAAAGACAATTACGAAATAAGATCTAGTTTGGCAGAGCTGTGGTGAGGAGGAGTTGAAAAATGAGAGCTGCCTTGCTGCAAACGCCATCTTGTTGCAGCTACTGGGCCCAGGCACAGAGAGATCCATTCATTCACAGCAGAAAGAAAATCAAACACACACCCCTGGCTAATCTGCAGCCACCAAAACAACTACACTATTATCGCCCCTTCCCCTTCTCCTCTCCCCGAGCACGCCAGGGAAGGGAAGGAACTCGGGGCTACCGCGTTCAAGAACGAATTTAGGTAGGAACGGATCCTCTTCGTTTCCTCACACGCATTTCACGGACACATCGGCAGCGTTTTGCGCCTTGACTCACATCCTTGTGTCCAGATCGGCTTAAAATATGGGATAAAAGGATAAAACTCTCACGACTGGGTGTGGATATTCTGCAGCAGCAAAACGTGCGATTTTTCCGCCTTAAATCACCTCCCCAAGTTGAGGCAACTGTTCTCAAAAGCTGTTTCAGTAATCACTTGAGCCTTATACATTTACAGCCCTTTCCTCCTGTTTCCTCCTGTGGAGACAATACATAATAACGTGGCAGTCGGCATCCTAGAAAGGATGCCTGCCTTAAAACAACCAGTCCCAGCCACGACTTTGTTCAGAGAATAATGAGATATCACAGTCGTTAAAATTTCAGTTCATCTTCGGCAATGACAAATCGACAGCTTACAACCTCTGTATCATTCTGATTTTCTCCCGGACAAGATTTTTTTGTTAATAGAAAACGCCTCGTCTCTCTCACATCTACATGCAAGGCTTTACACATCTTCCTTTCCCTACAAAGATGCAGGATTAAAAATCCTACACGTTCCAATACCCCTCCTGTGGATTAAAAAAAAAAAAAAAAAAAAATTAACGCTGAAAATCCTTACAGTAAAAAGCAGGGAACTGAAACAATATTTTAAACGGCATTTTCCGAGGAGGAAACTCCATCTTCCTATTGTAGCAAACACCCTCCATGATCTTCGTTACCGCTGCTACGGGCACACAAAAAAATATGCAGCACCGTAATGCACGGGGGGGGGGGGGGGGAAACAACAAATATGCGGTCTAAATCCATCCTCGGTTGCGATTTTAGAGAGAACAAACCCTTCCCCACCCCTCCCTCGCCCAGCACACCCAGCAGGAGCCCTGGGCTGGCTGGGGGTGCTGGGAGCAGCCTTACCCTGTTTGTCTCACCCCCGGCTCCTCTTAATCAGTTTTCCACCATTACAGCAGCCACACCATTGCCTTTTTTTTTTTTTTTTTTTTTTTTTTTTTTTTTTTTTTTTTTTTTTTTTTTTTTTTATCCTCCCTTGAATCTCTCTCCAAATATTCCCTCTGCCGGCTGGATCGCTCGGGAAACTCGCCTTTTGTGTCTCACAAGAAAAGACCACCCACCCCCCCACACACACACCACCAGAACCGTCTGGCGGGGACCACCACGGTGTAATTATAATTAAAAATGGAACCCCGCAAGATCCGAGGTCTCCTCCCTTTTCGCCTGGAAGCCTTCGGGAGGGGAGTCAGTCCCACCCCCACCTTTTTTTTTTTTTTTTTCTTTTTTTCCCCTTCCCCTCCTCCTCCATCTACAAACACACTTCTTTTTTTCGGGGAGGCTGGAGCCCCGAGGAGGTGGCAGCGCGGGGGAGGGGGCGATTTCCAGCCCCGTCACACCGAGGGTCGCCACGAGCGGGGGGCTCGGAGGGAGAAGGAGGCCCAGGGCCCCCTCCCCGGTGCGGCGGCGGAAGGGGAGGACGGGGGGAAAGGAGAGGGAGAAAGGAGAAGTGCGGCAGGAGAAGGAGGAAGCGCGGGGGAGGGGAAGGCGCGGGGCTGAGGGGGAGCCGAGCGAAGATGGCCCCGGGGTGGGGCCGGCCGGGGCTCGGCGGGCGGGAGGCGCCGCTGCCAGGGGACCCCCGCCCTCCTTCCCCTCACACACACGGTTACCTGCCCTGCCGGCCGCTGCTCATGAACCGGGCCGGTCCGTCCGCCGCCCGCGGTCCTGCCCGCGTCCCGCCGGCCTGGGGAAGGGAAGGGAAGGGGGGGCGGAGGAGGAGGCGGCGGAGGAGGAGCGGGGGGAGCCGCCCGCGCTGCGCCCGGCGTGTCCCGGGGAAGGCGGCAGAGCCGGGCGGGAAGGAGGGATCCGCGGCAAGGAAGGGGGGTGTCGCTGGGGCTCGGCTCCTCCTCAGCCCGCTCAGCTCCCCGCAGCCATCGGGCAGCGGCAGCCTGGGCGCGGCGAACCTCCCTCCTCCTCCTCCTCCTCCTCCCTCCGCCCCGCCCGTGCTGCCCGCCCGGGAAACCCCGGCTCGGCTCCCGCCCCGCCCCGGCCCCGCCGCCCCTCGCCGAGCCTCTCACCGGAGGCTCCTCCGGCCCCGCGCAGCCCCCGGGCGCGTTTCCCCCAAGGCCGAGCCTCTCGCCGGAGGCTCCGCCGCCTCCCCCGGGGCACCCGCCCAGCGCGGCCGGGGCGGGAGGGGAGGGGAGCGGAGCGGAGGGGAGGGGAGGGCGGTGCGCGCTCCCGGGCGCCTCGCGGGGTGTGCGCGCGCTCCCGGCCGGGCAACGCCCTTCGGCCCCTCGGGCGGGGCGGCGCGCGCGCTCCCGCTTCCCGCCCGGCGCGCGCGCCCCCGCCCCCTCAGCGCGAACAAAGGGCGAGGAGAGAGCGAGGCCGGCCCTGCAGGCCGGGAAGGGAAAGAGGCTGGGGGAGCCCCGGTGAGAATGTAACAAAAAAAAAAAAAAAAAATTAAAAAAAATGGCACGGAACGGCCCCGCAGATGGCGGCTAGGGAGCGGAGGGGCTCGCACAGAGCCCCCCCTCACCGTGTGGGACGTGAGGGCTGGGGACTGCCCAGTGTGCCCACAGGGGTGGGGAGGGAGGGCCACGGGCCTTCAAATGCTGCTCACACAGGGCTGGAAAGCAATAAATGCCTTTGTGTCACCATCGTGTGAGGGGAGGCTCTGGGAGTCTGGGCCTGTTTAGTCCAGAGAGGAGAAGGCCGAGGGGATCTCAGCAATCCGCACAAATATCTCCAAGGCGGACGGTGCCAGAGTGTTCAGTGGTGCCCAAGGACAGGATGAGGAGCGATGGCCATAAACTCAAACACAACCCCTGAGTTCCCCCTCAGCACGAGGCAGAACTTCTCTCCATGGAGGTGGCAGAGCCCTGGAGCAGCTGCCCAGGCAGGGTGGGCAGTGTCCCCTTCTGGAGCCATCCCAAACCCACCGGGATGTGTCCCTGTGTCTCCTGCCCCAGGTGACCCTGCCTGGGCCGGGGGATCTCCACAGGGTCCCTTCCAACCCCAACCATTCCACGGTTCTGTGATCTTTCCCTCAGGAACTCCAAGAGCAGCAATTCCATAGCTTAGACCTTCTGTGTTCCCGGTGTTGGCAATAAAGGTGCTCACCCAGCCAAAGCTTCCAGAGCCTTCTTTTCATATTCTCCTCACAACATCCATCACTGCTCTGCAAGGGTTTAGAAAAAAAAAAAAAAAAAAGCAATTTCTGTCTTACAGACTGGGCCCCCGGTAAACCAGGCAGGAGAGATGTCACCAAGATGGGATCATTTCACCCCAGAACTCATATACTGAAACCCTAATTAATATTGAAAAGTAAGTATTAATACGGTATTGCATCACTTTTCCTCCTCCAACAGGGTAAATCTGGGGGTTTTTTCCCCTCCTATTTGTTTATACCTTGTTAAAGAGAAGAGATTACCTGTCTACCTTTCCTACAAACTCTCCCCCTGGAAGATTCTTGCTGCTTCAGAATTTAAACAAAACTGTTCCTTGCTGTCATGCTTTCTGAAGGGAGGTGTGCTTACCTGCAATTAGGAAAGGAAAGTGCAGGTTTGCCAATTAAACTGTAGGAAAGTGGGTTGGCTATTATTCAGGTTGTCTGTTATGGAAAACTATTAGATCCTGGTGTGGTTAAACCTTTGGTTTGCAATAATCAAATGTTTGTTTTTAAGTAACGTGTGTGATGCACCGAAGCTTTCATTTGTCACCCTGAGATTTGCAAATAACAGAACAAGACATTTCCTGACATCAGAATAAATTATTCTTGAGTTATTGTCCCAATTTGCTTATATTCCATCAGTAACCATGGGGAAATAATTTCTCTTCCACCCCTGACAGAAATACATGTGCACCGTGGACAGGAGTTATCCCACTAAAATCTGCGGAACCACACGTGTTGCAGATGGGAATGTCAATGTTCTTGAGGCTGGAGATTCATCCAGCATCCCCATCTGGAGAACACTGATTAAATCTCTGTGCTTGAGAAACACCACGAGGTAATTAGATATTTGCAAAGTTTTCTGGAGATTTCAGAAGCAGTTACACTCAGTATTTAAGCCATAAAATCTCGGGGAGATTTACAGGAGGCAAGTTCCATGATTTATTTATTTATTGTGGGGAAAAGAATGACCACTTGCTACATAAGGGAAAAAAATTATATACACAAAGGATTAAAAAAAAAGGAAGAGAAAAATCCTTGTTTTGCAAAGGAAAATTCACGTGTCTTATCAGATTTTGTGGAAAATCTTCAGCTAACTCTGGATCATACAGAGAAAAAGTCTGTGCAAACAAATGCAAAAAATTCACATATATGTTATTGCATTGCAATACATTGCATGATTCTTGTGGTAGCTCAAGATGCTCCTGGTCTCTGCCACCATGAAGGTATAAATTGTTCTCTGCCAAAGAGGGTGAAAGATCAGCACTTCTCAAAATTGCCTGGCTCCTCAGGTGCTTTAGGGATACTGCTGAAGTAATAAATAATTATGTTTTGCCTCTCTCTTTATTTGTGACTTCAGGTAAGGGTTTCTAATAGTCCAAATAATAACAATTCCAAGGAGCAGCTCATACCCCAGGATCACCCCAGCACCATCTCCCACTCCATAATGCTGTGAGTGCTGCAGTGTGCATTCTGTTAACCCTGGAGACCCACAGGGACACTCCCGTGAGTTTGATGCAGTTTGAAATTCTCCACTTGGGCCCAAAAGCATCGCAGAGCCCTCGTTTCTCCCAAATTAAATGAAGCTTTTACGATGTTTGAATTCTGAGCTTCCTCCCCGAGTCTGCTCAGAACTCTTTTTCCTAACTCTTACTTTATTTTTTAAACCCTGACTCAGAACTGTTCCAACCTGCTGTTCTTTGCCAGTTCTGTAACGACTGAGTGACAACCACGGCTGCTCCTTCCCGGGGAAGGGCCCAGGTAGCAGAATATCCAGGCCGCTCATGAAAGGAAATCAGTAAGTGAAAGCCCCCTGAACAGAAGTGCTCAGCGAGGGCAGGCAGAGCAGAAAGGAGGGGCAGCTCAGTCTCCTTAGTTACATTCTGCATTCTCACAGTTTCTTTCGCTTTCCCTGTTATTATAGAACAAAAGAGTTATTTTAGACGAGTTCTGAGAACATCGCATAAAATTAGCAAAGCTGGTGGAGTCTGAGCATTGACAGCGCTTTAAGGTGAGGGAGCTGGTGCTGAGAGGCTCCCTGAGATTTAGGGCACCAAGGCAGGAAGGTCCATCTACCTGAGCTTCTAACTAATAATCATCAGGAGGATGAGCCTGAACTCCTTGCTGAGGGTGAGGATTAGGATGGGTTCAAGGTCAGTCAGCTCGGAATTGCTGAGGGACTGTGTGGGTCACTCCATGGCAGAACACAGAACTCTGCTGGGAGCCAGCTCTGCTCTGATTTTTTGTTTGTTCTTCCTCTTCTACCCTTGAAACGTGTACAGGTGTCTTAAGGTTGGTCCAGGCCTGTTTATTCCCTTCCCAACCACCACTCCTCCTTTTTTCCCTTTCTCTTTGTGCAAACCCTTACTGGGAGAGCCAGCAGAACTGGGAGTTTGGTGGTTTTTTTCCCTACAATCAGAATTGTATCAGAGCTCTCTCCCCTGTGCTGGTTTCTCCAGTACTCAGGTGTGTGTCATGGGTTTACACTTGGTGCTGTACCATTACATTTGCAATCTGTAGCTTGGCTTTTAACAGTCCTTTGGTGCTCCTGGGAAATGATGTAATAGCAACAATAACGTTGTAATAATCTTAGAAATCAGTGTGTGCACACATGCAAATGCACACATGTAGGTCATCCCTTAAGTGATCTGGTAAGGAACATTTCAGTGGCATGAATGCTGATTAAGCAGCTGGAGTGAAAGCTTAAAGCCTCATATTTCCCCATTTAAAGGGACTTTCCTCGAGGGGTTAATTGTGTTGTTGAGCAACTAACAGAAAAACAACTGGCACCCAGGAGACGCTGAGTTGGGAATCCACACTGAGAATTCAGCCTGAACTTTCCATGATGCCAAATACACCGGAGTGGTGGTGAAGGTGAACTTTCACGGGACCTCTTTCTAACACCCTCCAGCATCACCATTGTCCCAGCAGCCTTAACAGCATGTCCAGAACCCCTGGCCTGTGCTGCCGCCCCTCTGGGACGCTCCAGCTGAGGGGGTTGGCTCCAAACTCCAACTGCTCCACAGCCTCCAGGGTTCTCACTCGGCCCCAGGGGGCTGGAGTGTGTTCCCTGCTGCTCTGCACTCAGGGAGGTGGAGGAAGGAAATCTGGAGAGGAAGCTGAACTTCCTGTGCCAGAGATTTTAGGCTGGAACCTTCCCTGAATTCAAGACAATGCAGCAGCAGCTTTAGATGTGAATCACTGGAACTCAGACGAGCAAGATTCGAACACAGACCCTTCTGCATCCACACCTGTGATTAGGGACTCACGTGCTTCTGGGAAGTCCAGGAACCATCTGAGTGATTTTCAGACCTGGCTGTTGCCTCTTGCATCCCCCACCCTGTCTCCAGTCTGATGAGAAACTCCTCCTTTTTCAGTTTCATTTCTCTGGATATTGTTTGAGACTCAAAGTAGCCAGTTTGGGGGTGAGGATTGGTCACAGGTCTGTGGGGGAGCGACCCCACAGACAGAGGCATGAAGGGAACAGGCACCCAATGACCATCTCAAGGACGAGGTGTGAGCACAGAAACAGGAGGGAGAGGTCAGAGGGGCTGTAAGAGCCATCAGCTGATTAGACACTGCACACACTAGCAGTTGCATGTTTTATAATTATAAATGGATGAAGAAGTCACCAAACTAATCCCACAGATGCTCAAGTTATCCTGGTTCTTTCCTGTTCTCTCATTCTGTTAGCATGTGTTAGCAGCATCTTGCACATCAGTTAAAGATTAAAGCTTGGAGGTTGGGGGGCATAGGCTTTGTGTTTTTTGCTAAAATAGCAGGATATGTTAGGAAATCTAGAGGTAGGAATCAATCAGAAACTTTGATTCTTCTTTA